GAGGGCGAGCCGCCGGCCGCGGGAACCGAACCCGCGCCCCGGCCCGCGGCGCTCCGGGACGGGGCGCCCCGATCCGCCCGGGCGCGCGGCCTCCTCGCCCGCCTGCGGCTGGACGCTCGGCGCGGACCCCGCTGCGCCGGTCCCTCCCCAGCTACGCGCTCGCCCGCGCCCTGAAGTCCTCGCGGGACGACGGGGAGGACCCCGGCTCCAGACCCCTTCCCTCGGGGCTTCCGAGTGTGGGACGCTCCGTCCGACACGACACCTTCAGCCGCGAAGGGCGGCAGCCGGCGGCTTAGTCCTGAAATTCGGCTCCAAGTTTGGGTCCTCTTCCCAGCTGGAGGCTGTGGCGCGTGCCAGGAAAATGTGTTGTGCAACGGCGCCATCTAGCTCGCGCCGCCCGCCCCGGGCCTGCAGGGAGCCGGGGCCGGAGATGCTGGAGAAGGAACTGGACCTCCCAAAGATCTAAGGCCCTCGGGTTCTCGTGAATGTCCGCCTTCCACAGGCCCTGGCCACGCTCTAGGGGAGAACTCGCAGTGGTTTCTGTCCCTTTCTCCTGCTAGAATCGCTGTGCACTTTCAGATGATAGATTTATGCGGGAAATCATACATTGTTGAATGTCATTTATTGATTTGAAGAAACAAAATTCTTGTCTCAATAAATGATTCCCAGGTTCAACTTCCAGCCTTGTCAGAAATTTTCCTGGGAAAAATTCTGCTCCTTTTATATATGAGTTAGGTTATTCTGGTCACATGATGACCTGCTCCTTTTGAGTATCGTAACTATAGCCTAACAGATTTTTAACACACAGAAGACTTTGTAATTTGTCTTGGGTTTTAAGATTTCATTGAGAAACTCTGAGGTTCATTTCAGCCATGAAGAGAAGAGGGTAGTTTTCTTTTACATCTTGGATTTTTGAAGGTTTTTTTTTTTTTTTTTTTAAGTAGTTGTTTTGTTGAGATGTACACACAAGGGTTCATCTGGTTGTTGGTTAAAGCACCACTGAAGCCTTCTAATGCTGCTATGTTTAAAGATATCCTTTTTTTTGGGGGGGTGTATATAGGAATTCTCAAATAGGTGTGTGTGTGTGTGTGTGTGTGTGTGTGTGTGTGTGTGTTTAAAGGTATTTGGGAAGGTTCTCTTGGCCATTTCCTGCTCCAGCCACCAGAGGAAGTGGCACATCCTGGCACTGTACAAAGAGAACTCATTTTCTCCCTATTTTCTTGATGGGTCTGAAATTCTAGAAGGAAAGAGCTATTCTATTTACCTCTGTGTTCTTGGTGAAATAAATCTGTGATTAGCTGAATTCATCAGCTATTTCTGTACACCGGAGAAAAGGAAAAAGCCAACTTGGCCATCTCTAGTAACTTACAGTGATCCTTAGTAAGCCAGCCAAATCTATCACCTGCAAATTAGTAAACACCTTAGACGTTACCGTCACCAAGTGACTGCTGGGTACTGAGTTCCCCGCTTTGATGTGCTCTGAGAAAGCTAACAAAGACGCTGGTGATATCCTGGAATCGTGTCCACAGTCTTTACGTCTAAGCTTTCTCGCTTACACTGTCGAGTAGGGACAGTCCCAAACTCATGAGGCTGCCGTGCAGACGCCATGGCTTTGTGCGTGGAAAGCTCCTGAAATCGTTCTAGTGAACCTTTGGCACCCGGTAGATTTGAATAGTTACTAGTAATGAGCTCTTCCATCTCTGGCCAGCCTTGGTGGGGAAAAATCAGCAGCACTCAACTTTAAGTAGCTCATCTTTTATTCATACAAACGAAACATACACAAGACTGTATATTGTTTGAACACTGAAATAATTTTCTAGTGTAACAACTCTGTAACAAAATTTAACTAAATGTAACATTTATGAAAATATAAATCTCTGATTGGGTAATTCATCCCGACAATACAAAGTTTACATAAAAACGTTCAGTATGGGCTATCGGTTGCAAACGTGTTAGGAAAGTCATTCAAGTCACTGTTACACTCTATTGGCTTTTACACAGACACTCACACTACGTTTACTCCGTCGAGGCAGTTAATTCTTAGAAATGTATGGCATGGAGGTTCAGCTGAGAACGACGGGAAGAGGGTGTTGGCTGAAGAGCTAAAAGGACGGACTCCAGGTCTTGGGAATATGGATTTTAGCCCTCTGGGCTTCCGTCTGCTGCCTGGTAGCTAGGCCAGGAGGGACACGCTGAAGAGTGTTTCACCATGGAGGAGGGTTGATATCCGCGTGGCTCTCTCAAATGCTTACATGTTAAACGCTTTCACCCGTAGAACACAACTGACTTGGATTCACTATGGGTTTAGAGCCTTTTCTTTTTTTCTCATTGTGTCATCAGCTAAGATGTCACTGTGTAATGTTTTTTTTTGTCACGTTACTCCCTGGCGTCCCCACCAGGTTTACAGGCTTCAGCAGAACCCGTTGGCTCCTTTATTTTACAGTTCACAAACACAACTACACTGCGAGGCTAAATGACAGGCTATAGGTTCGTGATGAGTTTGAAGCAGAGCCAGGGTGAAAATAAGCCAGTTCCTTGTTCACTGTTCTAAGTAAGTTCCCCTTTCAAAGACAATCAAACCAACAACCACTACTGACCCCCTTGGAAGGTCTTTTAGGACATGTCACGTGGAGGATTCTGAAGGAGGAAAATCACTTTCACCTTCTGAGATATTTTTTTCCTTCAAATCAATGAAGTCATTACAAAAATACCATTTCATGGTTTCTGCGTTGAAACGGTTAAGACTGAGAAAGTCCTCAGGTTGGAAGAGGAACAGATAAGGAAGCATACACACAGTGTGTGGAGGCTAGAAGCGGTTACAAACAGGGATGAGAAGAACCTTTGGACACCCTTAAGATCCATGGAATCTTTTAGCACAGAGACAGGCATATTCAGTTTGTCCCAGAGTATTTGGTCGTTTATCTGCATTTTACACAGGAGAGAGGAAGAATGAGAGTAAGGCAATGTCATCAGTATTTCAGAGATGGTGTGTTTAAAAAGCTTGGTTTCTATTGAGCTATGGCAGGGGCCTAGGAAATCTTAGGCTTCCCAACAACTGACTGAAGAGTACAGACTCTTATCAGTATGATGAAAGAGACAGACAGGCGTGTTGATCAAACGTGTAATGCCCTTTCTGTAATTCTTTACACTCAGCACAAATGTGCGTCTCAAGAAATGGTGTGAAAAGACTGTGGTTTTCTGTTAGGTGGATTCTTTTGCAATCCAAGAAAGAAACAGTTTAAAATTATATATCCCATTACACAGAAACCCTTACAGCAGTCGCTGTGAGTGTATTTTAATGAGGACTGACTTTCCGTGTTCAGTAGCCCTATAAGAGTGGTAGGTAGTTCTCGTCCCCGTCTGTGCACCATCCCACACAGTTAAGCGCTGTCTTGGAAAACTGGAACACCTGGACATCTTTCTTATACAAATTTGCACCGTTAAACCGTTTGTGTTTACACAGTTGTCAGGATCAGGAAGAGATATTAAGGCTGCATTTTGTTGTCACAACCCTCTCAGGGTCAAACAGTCCTCGGCCATCATGATTCCAACCGGCTCCCACAGAACTAATTCTAATCCAACTAGAATCTAGTCCAACTGGTCTACCTACAACTCTAGCCTCTCTCATCTGACTCAGTGTAGTGAATTGTGCTGATTCCTATCATATAGCAAATTTAAACAATTTTATCCTCTCTCTCTCTTCTAGGTGAAATGGCCACTTCACTATCGCTTCTGGAAGTTCTCTATCTTTCTAATACATTTGGACAAAAAGATGGCACCCAAGTTGAGTCTCACAGTCTGTCCTTTCGTGAGGATGTTAGTAAACGGAGCGTCTTCCCTGCTTTTAAGAAGTGAGCAGCTTGTAGTTTGTGATGCAGAAGACGCGCCTGGCTTTTTTCTGTTGCTGTACGTGGATTACGTACTTCAGTTAAGCAGGATGAACTTTGTCAGTTGTCTGGCGTGTAGCTGTGGCTCCGGGATTCTAGGGCAGCACACACCCGGTCATAACAAGAGTTGTGTTTCTTGGAGGGCGTTGCCTCATTGGACTCAGAGGAGTCACTCACGGTGATGGGGCTGTCTCTGGCAAAGACCTCGGTGGACTCTCGCCATAAGCAGTCCACGGACACTTTAAAGGAGTAACTGTTGGACTTGGGCCTGGACGTCTGTGTTGCACTGTTGAAGATCTGTCTGCTATTGGACGTGGCGATCTTGATTTTCAGTGCGGCATCTACACGGTCCACAACTGTGTATATTCCTATACTCCCGTCGTCAAAGCCGACTATGATGTTCAGGTGTCTCTGAGAAAGCGCAAGAAAAGTTGGTGTTTTGTAAAGGGAACAAGCACCGATGTTTTTGCCATCAGCCAGTCTCATTACAATTAAGCTTGATGTTGCATCGTTTTCCTCCTCCTCCTCCCCATTCCGGAAACAAATATATACCAGGTAGCGACCATCTCGAGAGAGCCTCTGCCGCCAGATGACTCCGGAGGCATGAACCACCCGTAGTTTTCCACTGTGTAAATCCAGCACATTGATATTTTCATCTCCCCGGGATATAATGCCTAGCTTCCCATTGGGAGAAATTTCAAAGTCCTCCAGGG